ACAAGGCATGTCGCTGGGTGCAGTCACGCAGAAGCACCCACGGTGCTTGCATGAGCCATCGGTACATCTATTTGGCTGCAAATGCATCTCTCAGTGCTTATTCTAGCTATTCCTTTCTGGATGTTCATGCCTTTGAGAACACCTGTGAGCCATTTTCTCACCCTCCCCTTGTCTCCCTGTCTGTCTATTACTCCATGGATACCATTTACACAGTATTTTTACTTTCCTGACTTCCAATGAAAGAGGGACACTTTTGACATTTCCACTGAAGTATTTTTAGGCATGATGCCACCTGACCTTTGCTGAGGACCATCTTTTATACATCCTTTTTTGCTAACCACCATTAGTATCATCACTGTTTGATCCAGTCTCCCCTTCAAATGGTTTTTCTTAAGACTCACAGATTTGATCTTTGCAAAGCACCGCTTCCTCTTTTAGAGGGTAATCTTAAAAGAATTAGGGGGGATGGGATCTTCCCTAGCCCCGTGAGTGCTGAACTTGCAAAGAGAAGCTATCTTTAAGCTGAAATAGTTTTCTTGAGTCCAGGGTCATTTTGATAAGAATAGTGCAAGGTGATGCAACCACATTTTAAATATAGAAGTTCTAAAGTTCATGCCACATGGAAATGCAGCACGAGCTGCACTGGCATACTGACATTCATGAAAGAAATCAGGTACCCAGGACTTGACATGAGCAAGTTGCTTTGCATGCTGTAGCAATATGAAATCGAGCATAAATGCAGAATGAAGACAAGAGCTCCCTCGTTGCATTCTTTCCCTTTCCCATGTTGTGGTCAGTATTCATAGAGGCCATGTACAGTCTTGCCCTGGCCCTTCCATTTTGGGCTTAGATTCTCTCACACAGAATGATAAAGGCAACACCTGGATCCTGTCTTAAAGAATCAGTGACACATGGGTTTGTGTATTTCAATGTACAGAAAATTGACAGTATTTAGCATCTGCTCTGCTTACTAGAATAATAATTTACTGAACAGAAGAATTTACTTTTGATCAGTAATTGTTTGCATCCTCATGGTTTGCAAAGTTTAACAGGGAACACACGGACGAAACAGGCGTGGTTTCTTCCCATTAGAGTTATGTTGTTGACTCACAAAAATTACACTAGCAAGAATGGCCTTATTTGAATAAATTTTGTTCATGCGGAGAAAAGAATTAATGTATTGGTGAAATGATCTTTATTAATGACACAATAGTTTGACCTGAAGGAGATGAATGGGAAATTATCTAGCAAGGTGTGGAACATTCTTTCCTAATGAGTATGAGATCGTATGACCTTGGCATCACACTTGGTGTCTAGGAATTTATCCTGCAGACAACACATGAATGTGCTTTCCATTCTGACTTTTCATTAGAATCACACAATAAAATTTTAAGTTGCAGGACCATCCTCAACATTTGTGAATTCTGGACCTAGACTGTGAGTGGGAAGGCCCACCCTGACTATCCCTGAAGGCCATGATGCCATGAGGGGTCTTGGTGGCCACATGGATGGTCAAGGAGCAGGAGCAGTGGAAGTTGGACTCAGGCTGGGGCTGCAGAGGATGGGTTACCCCTGCCCTCACCACCGACTGGGAACATCTCAGAAGTCAAGGGCTTCAAGTTCCTGTGGTGGTCAGATTCCCAAGAGTTTGTGCCACTCCAAAATAAACTCATCCTCCCAACCCATCCCCAAAGCAGAGGCAGTACTGGGGCGTGTGCTTGGACACCCTCTCACTGCTGCGATGGAGATAGGTATCGTGAGAATAGAGCTGCTCCTCCAGCTCCCCAGGCACTGTGATCATCGTTCCTCAGCCTGGGCCTATTGAACTCGACCCACCTAGTCCAGCCGCTATGTCCTGCTCTTACATACATTTTTGTTGTGTTCAACCAGCCAGTGTTTGGCATTTTGTTTTGGCAGCTCATACTTAGCTCTAATGACATGTGGTAGTGTGGGCCCCACTGTGAACTGTGTGGACAGTGAAGCAGCCTCTCCTCCTTCAGCTCCTGCTCTGGGGACCTGGGACTGCTCTCGATAGCACAAGAACAGTCATGCTACAGGACACAGAACCTTTTCTTTAGCATCCTTCTTTGTCACCTCGCTACGCAAACACAAGGTACTAATTCACTCTGGGCCTCAATTACCTGCTATATAAAGAGCATAAACAGCAGGTATTAATTTACTAGAGATTTCAATTGTCTATGGTATAATAAGGCAGTTTCCAAAAGTTAAATTAAAAGGGTTCTACATACTTTTTTGTTCCTTATTCTTATGATGACCATATTTTAATTTGGTTTTGGAAGTATTTTTGGTTGTGTGTAAAGGGTATTCTCTTTAATCTACCATAGTGAAAATTATTCAGGAAATCTATAGAAGATTATATCTCTATAAGTCACAATTTCCAGATAGGAAATTACTGTGGCTTTGAATTGCCAAAGGGACAGCTGAAAAAAATGGGTCACGCATTCACCCCACTCTGGGACTCAGCTGCCAAGTGGTGCGCAGCCCATTCTTGTCCTCTTCTCATAAACAAGCTGAGCTAACAAGGTACTCTTAAAAAGTGTACTGATTTCCCTAGTGAATTGCACAGGAAAGAATCTAGCCTTGCCTCCAGAGGCTTCAAATAGTTGTTTGTTCTTTGAGCTCAGGTGTGGTAAACTATCTGGGGGCCACCAGGCAGCCTCGATGTTGGCCAGGGTGGTAGAGTATTCTTCCCCTCCACCCCTGATTTTGCTTACTGGCGCCCAACTCATAGCCTGTGTAATGGGGGGAAGGAGAAAGAAAGAAAGAAACAGGACTTGATTTTCAGTTTCAATTTAGTTACATAATCTATGGTGCTTACTGGGAAGGATTTAGGGGTAAGATTAGTGTTCAACAGTGTTCTGTTTTATATTTCTGTTTGATAAAGAATACCATAGTGACTATCCAGAGTGAGTTTTTAAACATGTTTTTAAAGAGCTAAATTCTTTTGGTGGAAGACTGACTTGAAAAAGAGGGTGACTTCATCCTTGGGATTTGGTGCCAGGACATAGACAAATTAGAGGAAGAAGACGCCTCTGTGAGCTGTGACCAGCACATTTTGGGAGTGGGGAAAATGTCACTAATTGGAAGAGGAATGAATAGAAATTCCATTGTAGGATTAGAAATACAAGCTGGTAGGCAACAATTGCACAATACAACCATCTTTGAAGAATGACTGTGTACATAAAATATTAAGGCCTTTTTTTCTCATGATAAAGTCCAAAGGATTTCACTTTCTTATTGGCCCTGGAAACAATAATGATCTTACCTGGCACCAAATCAAGTTTAAGATTATGAGTAAATATTTAGTGTTCTCTTTTGTTGTCTATATATTCTATTAGTTCAGCCAAGGGCCGAAAGAAAGAAAACACAGGAAATGAAAATTTTTCCTTAAGAAACAGCCTTCATATATTTTTTGAGACCAACTCTTTCACTTATTAAATAAATAAGAAAAACAGGTCTCTTTATAAGGAGGCTTATTGCATATTGGACTTAAATAAAAATGGCAGCAGTAAAATTTACAACTTAACTATTGCTCAGCCTTATGAAATCATTTGAGTCCACACAAATAAGTGAAAATATGATGATTAAGATACCAAGCCTCCAAAATAAATAAATTATTTGGAATGGCCACCTACTTTTGCTATTACCAAGATGGTTTTCTCAAGCATTAAGTTGGTTACTTTTGAGAGTCTACATATACAATGATGTCCAAAAGCCAAAAGGTACCCGATAAGCATTATGTTTTGCTTACTGAGTTTTCAGGATAATATTTTAGTCAAATGAGTCCCTTGTGTTGAAAGCTTGATGTATTACAGGGCATCTGGCACAAACTGGGTAAATCTAGAACTGTGCTTGGGTACACTGACAGAGGAAAGAAGAATTGGAACATCTTTTGAAGAGCATTTACAGCTTTGGAAAATGCATCCTTGGCTAGTATAGAGGTAGATTTGCCTCTCTTCTTTTTGGCAAGGGTGACTTACAACTTCTTCCAGAGGAAGGAAAAAAGGCATGGAGATTTGTATCTGTGAGTAAAATGTGAGCATATTCTCCCGCAGGTCAACGTCTGCCTTCTTGAGTGCAGTATACAGGCTGTGTGTATGGATCACATGGCCCACGGAAGGAGCAGGTGGGGGCACCGCTAGCTTCAGCTGAGGGACCCCCTTGTTTTGTATATGGGACTGCAAGTTACAAGCCCTGTACACGGTGTTATATATAAGGACACCATGTCTCCAAAACTGCAGACAGTGCATCAATAAGAAGATTGGATAGGAAAAGAGTGAAGCAGACAGGAAAATGTCAGGTGACCATGAGTTGAAACGAAAGGTCAGAATGAAAAATTGCCTTGGGTGGTATTCTGCTGCTCGGGGTTTGGTTCTTAGCTGCCTGGGAGAGAGTGACTTTCACTTGGGTGAATACACACTTGAGAAAGTCACAGAGGAGCGGGTGCCACCTACAATTAGGAAACATGGATCAAAGTATCTTCTATCTTTTTTTAAAATTTTATTTATTTATGTGTGTGTGTGTGTGTGTGTGTGTGTGTGTGTGTGGCCAGCTCAGCCCACCAGGGGGCAGGGCTAGCTGGCATGTGGTGCTGGGGGATTGAACCGTGGTCCCTGTGCTTTGCTAAGCTTGTTCTAAGTAGGTGCTTTAGACCACTGAGCCATCTTACCAGCCCCAGTATCTTCTATCTTGACGGGAGCAAGAACAAGGATCACAGTGTGATCAGAGGGATGCTTGCATGTTAGAGCTGGCAGACCCAATCTGTCTACTATTTCTGATTTTTGGTTGATGGAGTGGAGGGAAGCATCAGGAGGGAGCCAAGAAAATGCATAATTATCCACAGTCGACTTTTTTTTCTTTCCAGAAATGATAACATACACTGATCATACCTAAGAACTGGAATAGTCTTTCTAAAATATTTACAAGTGTTTATGAGCATTTAATACAAAATTTTATATCAGAGAGAAGTGAGGAAATACCTGGTTGGTAATACGTTCCTGGATTTTTTCTGTAGTCACTGAAAAAGAAAGCAGAAAAATTTTACACTGAAGGCATGAAATTCAACTCAATGCAGCACTGATGCTGTTTTGTCCAAACCCCCACAGCAGGCCTGGGCTCTGTGAAGAAGGATTAGTATCAGACTATGGACAGTTACAATCACTCCAGTTATTGGGGAGGAAAAGTCAAAACCAAAATAAACCATGTTCAGAAAAGATAACAGAAAGTGGAGAGGAAATCCAATGAGGGCGATAACCAGAAGAAGGTATTAAACATTGGCAGAAAGATGATGAAGAGGTGGAAAGGACTGAAGAGAAATATGAACAGCAGCCAGCCCAAGGTCTCCAAACACTAATGACCTGTTGAGCTTTTGGACGGTCCTGAGCTCTGGAACCCTGAGAACTAGAGCAGGGGATCCGTGGAGGCAGATGGCGGAAGTCTTCACCTTCTCCCACCCGAGAAGTGATGAAGATGTTGCTCTACTTTGTTGCTACAGTACTGCAGGACACAGAAGTACAAACAAAAGATTCTGTAAATGGTATCTTAGTCAGGATGGGCGAAATTCAGAACAATGTATGAAGCCAACAGAAGCAAAGAAACGGTTGGCCTTGGTCACTGTGGCAATAACCTGAGAGTGACCAATAGCAGGCACCTCTTAAATAGAAAGAAATAAAATCCTTAGTAATCCTAAATAAGTAAGCAACCCAGGAACAAAAAAGAAAACAGGAACTTGCCAGCGCCCTGGTTATTTTGTGTTTGTGAATGACTCACTGTGCTACTTACACTTAAGTCTGCGCTTCCAAAGGAAGACTTTAATTCGGGTCATTATAGAGTCACGTCAGTTGTGAAAAAATAATACAGAAAGTTACTCCGTATTGTTTACCCAGTTTCTGCTGATGGTAATGCCTGGAAAATCAAGAATGGGGTAGAAATGGAGTCATGTGCTGTAAATGACATGCTGGGACTCGTGGTTTTTCATTTAATTTAATTCTCTGGGGATTTATCTAGGTTGCTGTGTGTATCAACCATAGTACCCTTTTGATTCTGAGTAGTATTCCATGGTGTGGAGACCCCACTCTGCATACAGTGAAGTTCCTGGGTATCTGGCTGGTTTCTGGCCTTGGGCTGTTACATGTAAAGCTGCTTTAAACATTTGTGTATAGGTTATTATGTGAACCCAAGTCTTCATTCCTCTGAAATACGCGTCCAGAGGTAATTTCTCAGTAGTATGAAAGTTGCATATCTAGTCATTTAACAAACTGTCAGACTTTTATAAAAAGCAATAGCTAAGTTAAACATATAAGTCAATTAATCAACAATGATATATGTTAACATTTTCTAATGTTTAGTAGCAGGTGAGGTGTCATATACTATGCAGAAGAAGTGAGACAGTGTAGGAGTGGGCTATTTGATGTTGTCATTGTCAAGAAATGCCTGGGGCCAATCTTGGAGTTTCCAGATAAGAAAAGCCAATTTTCTTCATCTTGAAAGAGCAGTGCTCAATCACATACTCTTGATGTGTTTTAATATTCAGATTTCTTCTGTCAGATTAAAAGCACAGTGTTTAAAGAAGAAGCAAGATGGTTTGAGGGGAAACCCTCTGAATTAGATTACCCATATTCAAATACAATTCCCCAAAGAAGGGACATTTGGATTGTAAGCTGAAAGATGATAAGGACGCTAACATCACTGAGAAGAGCCATAAACAGGCCAGCAGAAGGATGAGCAGGTGCAGAGGCCACATGCAAGGACAGCGTATGGGGAGGGGCTCTAAGACACAGGATGGAAGGAAGGAAGGGGATGGGTGTTTGGTGTGGAGGGACAGGCAGACAGGACTCAGACAGCAAGTTAGAGCAGAGGCCACTGGGGAAGGCAGAGGGTCCTCTCAAGAGCAACAGGTTCAGCCCATAAGGGGTCTAGAATAGGGCCTAAGCAGGGACCTTAAAGTATCATGCAAAGATTTGCAGTTTTAAAAACCCATCAGACTCTGGTTGCCACCTGGAGTAGTGATTTAGGCTAGATGGGGTATTGGGATGGCAGCAAAGATGCAAAGTCTTCCGTGTTTTGTTAGGGACCAAAGAAAATCTGGAGGACTGTAAGAAAAAAAGTAATCAAAACTATCATATAATTAGATACTAAGAATATGAGAGGCTACTGTATGGGCAGACCTACAATGGCCCCAAATGGGTTTGGGAGATGACCGGTTCATGGGGAGTGTCACAGCTGACTTGCTGTTAGAAAGTGCTGATTCGAAGGGGTGGCTCCCTGGGAATGCGACCCGGAAGGGTTTGCATGCCTTTGTGGCTCCTCCCCCTTCACTCTCTGCCTCGGGGACATGATGTGAGCGGCCATTCCTCTGCCATGCCTCCATGCTGTGCCATCTTGCCTTGGAGCTGGCCAATTGGGGACCAAAACCTCCACCAACTGTGAGCCCAAATAAGCTCTCCTCGCTTAATTTGTGAGCATCTGGTATTGTATCTTAGCAACAAGGAAGTGACTAAAGACATCCGCTGACCTCCAGCAAATAGACCAGATTACAGCGGGCATCTCCTGAAAGCTCTGGCCATCACGAGGTGTTCCATATAAGGTCAGTTAGGTCATGCTCTTGTTTGGCTGCTCAGCTGTAACAAAGTTCTACACCTGCTGGATTTGGGAGGATTAAAATGAAGTGAGCATGACTTTTGCAGGAAAACATGCTTGAGTGTCTTTCCAGGTATTTGGGGGCAGGGCAAGCAGCATCTCAGAGACAGGAAAGAGGATGTGTGGCTGGCCTGGGAGGAGTTCCATGTGGCTTACACAATGCCCCCCTTGTCTGTGTATCACTTTTCATACTTTTATTTACCCATGATCAACCATGATCTACATTAAATGGAAAATTACAGGAAGAAACAATGTACAAGTTTTCCGCATCTTTTTCTATAGATTGCTGTTATAATTATTCTATTGTTATTGTTGTTTATCCCCTACCATGCCTAGTTATATATGAAGCTTTATCATGAATATGTATTCATAAGAAAAGTATAGTATAGACTGGGCTTGGTACCATCAGCAGTTTCAGGCACTGACAGAATGTCTTGGAACTTACGTTCTGTGGCCAGGGGCCTGGTGGAGAGTTAAACATAAGCTAGAACAGGTGGGAGGTAAATGGTGTGGGGTGAGGGAGATGGCCCAGGCTTGGAAAGCTGGTGACCATGGATATACTGAGGGCCATGGATATAACTGGGGGCCCTGTAGTTGGGGAGCAGCCACACTATTTCAGAGAGGGATGTGGTGACCAAAGCTGTTGTGGAAAGAAGAGCTGGCCATTAGTGCAGAGGGTGGGCTGAGGGGGAAGGGGAGAGAGGGATGGAGAAATAGTGAGTGCAAGCAGTGTTCAGGCTGGAAGATCAGGGCCTGCGCCCAGGCAGCTGGAGCAGCATGGAGAGCGGCCTGGTAGGGAGTTTGGAGCCAGATTCTGCAGCTGATTGGAGCTGGGAAGAGCAGGAGCAGGGAGCAAGCACAGCCCCCAGAGACTTAGGGGATGGAGTGAGTGATGGTGACACTTTCATAGAGCCAGAGCAAGGACCCAGTTTAAGAAGTCACTGTGTGGGGTCTGGGCCCCCAATTAAAATGGAGATATCTGAAGGTGATGGAAGTGAACATAGCCAGGAGAGGAGACTGAATAATGACCCCCAGCCGTCCAGAGCTTAAGGGTGGAATCTGGCACTGTGATGCCTTATGTGGCTTCGCAGATGTGGGTAAGCTAAGAACTTGGAGGTGGGGAGATTATCCACTGTGTGCAATGAAAGCACAAGGTCTGTCCTTGCCACTGAGGGCAGGAGAGGCAGGGGAGGTCCTGAGACGAGGAGGCCAGAGTGGAGTGTGTGCTTGGGAAAGGGCAGCCTCCAGGAGACCTGGATGTGGGAGGAAACAGGGCTCTGCTAGAGCCATCAGTGGACATGCAGCCTGGTGGGTATCTTATTTTAGACCCATCTGCACTTCTGAATCCCAGAACCAAAACATTTCAAATCTGGTGTTACTTTAAGCCACAGATTAGTAGTATAGTCATCAACTCTGTCTGCAGATGCTGAATCTACAGATTCTACCAATCATGCATAGAGAATCTGTCGGTCGGTCGGTCGGTCGGTCGGTCGGTCTGTCTGTCTGTCTGTCTGTCTGTCTGTCTACCTATCTACCTACCTGGTCTGACCATGACCTCCAACTTGCAATGCTCCCACCTCAGTTTCCCAGAGTGCTGGGGTTACAGGGCTATGGATAGAAAATAGCTCTAACAATTTCATCTGTACTTATAAGGACTTCCCTGTGCTATTACTTCCTGAACAGTACAGTATGGTGACTTACACATAGCAGTGACCCTCTACCCGAGATTTTAAGTAATCTAGAGATGGTTAAAAAACACAGGAGGACACGTGCAGGTAAACAAATACTACACAATTTTATATGAGGAATTAAACATCCAAGGATTTTGTTATTTGGGAGACTTTCTGGAAAAATCCCCTTGGGAGTTAGTTGATGGACAATGGCAATTTCTTATAGCAGCAACAGGAAACTAATGCAAATAAATTCTCATGCTCCATGTTAGCCATTCCTCAGGGCCAGGGAGGAATGCACACAGCTACTGAGTAAATGTACAGAGTCTTGAGAGAGGTACTTGGCAGCCATTGTGCTCGTGGGACAACCGTGTGAAGTAGGGACTCTTATCCCTGCCTTGTAGATTAGATGACCAGGGCTCAAATAATTTATAAGAAGTGTCTGAATTACATGGTTTGCCAGTGAAAGAAACTCCATCACTTGAATGCAGAATGTTGCTACTTTAAACACAGAAAGAGCTGAGTTTTAGCACAAAACTAATGCTGCTTGTCTACCATTTGGGTCTTCTCCTTTCATCGTTTGGTTAGATAAAGTATCTTACTTTATACTCTAGATAAAGTATCTAGAAGGGAGCAAAATAAAGACATTTGGTAGGGAGCCAAAATTTGGACCAAGTGGAACATGGACACACAGACCCCAGGCTGCTTA